AGGTCCAGTGAGAAGACACAAATATTATGAAGAAGCCTTTTCAGAACCACCTCCCTAAAGTAAGAAAAGAAAACAACAAAATAACAATTAAAAAAAAAAAACAGTACAAGCAGTCCTTGCTTTGCACAGCACCGACACGCACGCATCTCAGTTGCCATAAGGAACACAAGTCCTCTAACAGGACAGTTGAATTACATTGACCACAGTGACATTTCACAAAAATGAATAATCGAAAGAGGGAACTGGCCAACAAACATGAAAGCAGGGCAAATAAATGACAAGTGGTTAACACTGAAAGTGACATTCAAATCAAATGTAAAAGGAGTTATAAAAGAATTAGCTGTGGGAATATCGACACTGCTGTCATTGGAGAGATTCCAGACATGCAGCCAGAGGAAAATGAGTGAAGGCGAACTTACCACATACGGGGAAAGAGGCTGGGACGAAAAGGACAAAGATGTCCCAGAGCAAGCTGTGCCAGCAAAAAACGCCACGTTAAAGGAACACTTGTTCTGTATTGCAAGTTATATGACTTAAAATTACTTCTGATACTTTTTTTTTTACAAAGAAATACAATCTTAATGTTTTAAATTACACTGTACTAAATGTTTTACTTCTTTTTTTTCCGTTTCCCTCTACTTCCACAATCTACAGTAAGAGAGTTATTAACATTGACAAGAATTTTTAAAGGTCGTTAAATAATCATTTTCATCAATTATTAAGATCACTTTGCATGACGTCCACTCGCACATTCATCTTTCCAGCCCCAAATTACACGCAAAGGACTGCCTGCACTTCACACTGCAGAGCACCAACACTCGCCGAAGTTCCTTCACCTGTAACCCAGTTAAAAGTAACTGAGACAATACCCTGAGAAAACCATAATTCAAAAAGAGTCATGTACCAAAATGTTCACTGCAGCTCTATTTACAATAGCCCAGAGATGGAAACAACCTAAATGCCCATCATCGGATGAATGGATAAAGAAGATGTGGCACATATATACAATGGAATATTACTCAGCCATAAAAAGAAACGAAATTGAGCTATTTGTAATGAGGTGGATAGACCTAGAGTCTGTCATACAGAGTGAAGTAAGTCAGAAAGAGAAAGACAAATACCGTATTGTAACACATATATATGGAATTGAAGGAAAAAAATGTCATGAAAAACCTAGGGGTAAGACAGGAATAAAGACACAGACCTACCAGAGAATGGACTTGAGGATATGGGGAGCGGGAACGGTAAGCTGTGACAAAGCAAGAGAGAGGCATGGACATATATACACTACCAAACGTAAGGTAGATAGCTAGTGGGAAGCAGCCGCATAGCACAGGGATATCAGCTCGGTGCTTTGTGACCGCCTGGAGGGGTGGGATAGGGAGGGTGGGAGGGAGGGAGACGCAAGAGGGAAGAGATATGGGAACATATGTATATGTATAACTGATTCACTTTGTTATGAAGCAGAAACTAACACACCACTGTAAAGCAATTATACTCCAATAAAGATGTAAAATAAAATTTTTTTTAAATTTTAAAAAATAAAGTAACTGAGACAGGGATGCTTTCGGTTTCACTCAAGTAACAACCCAGATGAACTACAAGGTCGATGAAACTGCTAAGTACTGAAAGGGAGAGAAGAGTCAGGCTGGAGGGAAAGAGTGGTTTGGAGGTATGTTTGTTTGTTTTGCATTGAAAAAAGTAGAAGAGGGCTTCCCTGGTGGCGCAGTTGGTTGAGAGTCCACCTGCTGATGCAGGGGACACAGGTTCGTGCCCCGGTCTGGGAGGATCCCACATGCCGCGGAGCGGCTGGAACCGTGAGCCATGACCGCTGAGTCTGCGCGTCCGGAGCTTGTGCTCCGCAACGGGAGAGGCCACAACAGTGAGAGGCCCGCGTACCGCAAAAAGAAAAAAAAAAAAGGTAGAAAAAAGTAAGGCTACTATCAAAATTATTTCATTCCATCTTGGAGGATTTCAATACAGCTTTTTTTGTTTTTTTAAGGAATGGAATAAAGCCAGCCCTCCATATCCTGGGGTTCCGCATCGTCAGATTCAACCAAATGCAGATTCAAAATATTTGCAAAAAGAATTCCAGAAAGTTCCAAAAAGCAAAACTTGAATTTGCTGCATGCAGGCAACTATTTTCATAACATTTATATTGTATTTACAACTATTTACACAGTATTTACCTTGTATTAGGTATAATAAGTAATCTAGAAATGATTTAAAGTATACAGGAGGATGTGCATAGGTTACATGCAAATAGTACATCATTTTATATAAGGGACTTGAGCATCTGTGGATTTTGGTATCCACAGCGGACCTGGAACCAACTCCCCTTGGCTACCAAGTTTTAATTAGGCATGAACCAGATGTATACAGGTACAGTGTTGTATTTTTTCTTTTTTTTTTAATCTCATAAGCATTTTCCATGTTACTATTATAGCACATACTCTTCACAAGCACTGTTACCAATGGCCCCTAAATAGTCCATGAAATGCATCTATCATCATTTACCTAACCACTCCTCTTTTATTTCATGTTTTCCTATTATCTTCACTGAGCTAAATGTTATGAACATCTTTAGGTCACTAATACTTATTTCAAACTGCTCTCCTAAAAGCATGCACCCGTGACTGTACTCTTGGAGGTTTTTTTCTGAATAGTCTGCTCTGTGCTCCAAAAGAAAACTTAACATGCCAGAAGCTCTCTCCCTATTCAGCTCTACAGCCCTTCAATCCTGCTCCAGAAACTTCAGGAAGGAAACAGGTAAATATGTGCTCTACGTCAGGCTCCGTACTACATCTCACTTAATCCTTAGAAGCCGAGGCTCAAGACTTCTGCAAACGTGAAGCTGCATTCATTCACCCAACAAGTACTGAGTGCCTTCGAAGTGTCAGGCATTGGTCACACGGTAGTAAACAAAACAGAACTCCCTGAGGAGTGCTTAGCCTCCTCAAAGACGCTCCCAACCATTAAAAAAAAAAAAAACCTTCCATTTCCGGACTACTTCAATAATAAAACCCTCTAATGGCTTTCGTTATGCTTTATATAAAATCCAAATTCCTTTCCACTGCCCACCAAGACTCACCTCGGCAGGCTTTGTCTAGCTCTCCAACAGCAGCCTCTGTCACACTACCCTCACCCACTAGGCCTCAGCCACCACATTCACATCCTGAACCCTTTCCACCTGAGGATTTTCTCACGCGCTGCTCCCTCTGAACTTTCCCCTCTGCTCATCAAAATGACTAGCCCCTTACCTGTTAGGTCTTAGCTTAAACGTTAGCTCCTCAGGGCCTTCCTAGGGCACTCCATCTAAAGTAGGTTTTCCAATATTATTCTCTCTCTCTCCCACCTCAGTTCATTCCTTTCACAGTACTTATCATATAGCCTTGGTTTGTTTGCCATCAAATCTCCAAGGGCAATCACAGTACCAGTAGACAGAACACATGGCAGATAAACTGCATGCTAAATGAATTCACCAGGAATGAGATCTAGCTTCCTTGAAACTTCTACCAATCGATCCCAATTTTACCCTCTGTAACTACGAAAAAGGAAGTATGCATGTGTACCCTTCTTTAATAAAATAAATTTTAAATAAATTTTAATACAATTTTTTTTTTGTTAACTCTGACACTCACCTGTTTTTAGCAACTGCTACTGTTGCTGACTTCAGCGATAGTCTCAAGGAGCAGTAAATGGAATCCCATGTTACACTGCTTGGAATCTGAGCTCCAACACTTACACACACGAAATGTATCTCACTTGTGTGACTTTGGACAAATTATCTAACATACTATTCCTCAGTTCCCTCATTTGGAAAACTAGGATAAGACTTCAATTGTTTGTCAGGCTTAAATGAGATGATGTATGTAAAGAGCCTACCCTAGTTCCCGTCAGAGCAATGTGGATTGTCATAAGTACTACTGCCATCTCACCAGCTGGACAGGAAAACGTCTTCAACGGGGTAACATATTTCTTTGCATCTCTAAAACCTAGCTTCTACAAATATCAATCTACAATATCAATTCTACAATATCAATCTAGATTTAAAACCATCATTCCACCAGTCTGGGTAAGATCCCCCTTCCACATCTTTCCATACACTCTGAAACTAACCCTCATCGTCATTTACGATAACACTCATTTTACCCCTTCTGCCTCCACCACCTGACCCGTGCGGCCAGGTCTATCTTGTTCACCATGTTATCTCCAACACCTGCAAAAACATTTGATAATTAAACGAAGAAAGTCCTCTAGGCCTCCATCTCTCAGGAAAAGCTTTTGAAAAGGTTCTTGTCTATTTTCTGCCTCTGCCCGCTCTCCTACAGTGAAAACATAGGCAGCCAATCTGTCTTGTTCACTACTGTATCTAGTATCCCCTACTGAGCCTGTCCTAAGAAAGGTTTCAAAGTATTTATTAAAGGATTTGGGGGATGGGGGTTGATGTTAAGACACGTTGATTCTCGTTGTTTTCTAAGGAATTGAACACCACTAACGCACTGGCTCAACGCGCGGCTATTTGTGCTCATCAGTATATACCATACCCAAAGCCTAGAAAAATGCTCGGAAGCAAACTAAGCAGATTATATATAAGATGAATGAATGGATACGTCATTTTCCGAGACTGAAGAAAGATACAGCAAAACGAAACCACAGTCTTGACCAGGTCTGTGAGCGACTCAAGAGTTTTGTTACATATATTTCATTCATTGCCAAGCTCTCCAGAGTATGGTTACAGTATACAATTGAAACTTTTCTTTTCCCGTTAGGTAAACCGCGGTGCGGACCCCTATCCCACCCCCGTCTCTTTCTGTCACACAGGTAGGAAACTCAGAACCTTGCCACGAGGCCCAGCGCGGCCCAGGAGCCCCGTGCTTCCTCCCAGACCGGGTGACCGGTGACCCGGGGATGATTCAGCGCGCAAAACCGGAAGGAGGTGCTAGGACAGGGAAGCCTCCGGCACCCCTAGCGCCCCCACTCTACCGCCCGGTACTCACCACCAGCGAGGCTGTGAACCCAGGCCGGTCCATGGCCACATAGACTCAGTCAAGGTTATAATTCAAAGCTGAGCCGACTCAGGTCGTGGGCCGCTGCGCTGGGCGCCGCCATCTTGAAGGCGGGGCATGTAACGCCGGCAATACCGTGGCCACGTGAGGTTGAACCACAACAAGTACACAATTACACGTGCAACCGGGGAAGCTGGGCCAGAGGGAGGGCCAGGAAGGAGGGGCGGAGCCTGGAAAGTGTGGTCGAATCAAGTCTCGCGACTCTTCTCTGCCTCCGTTTCCTACAGCTTCTGAGTGGGCCAGGTAGAGGAACTCTCGCGAGCAAACGAGCCTCGACTGGGAACCAGGCGTAGCGAACCCGATGATGAGGAAAGGGTGAAGTCCAACCGTAAACCCAAAAGAGGCGTGGCTATAGTGGAAGGCGGGGCCGTGGAGAGGCAGGACTAGCTTCAGCGGGCGAGACCTGTGGATTCCAATGAGTTATTTGCATTTATCTGTTGGTTTCACCTGTAGAAATTTTGTCTTTTTCCATAAAACAGACTCATTATCAGAAAATTATTAAATATAGAAAAACATTTCAAAAATTTCCTTACTCGAGCTAAAAATTAATGTCCTCTACTTCTTACCAGCAGTTTTTGCACTTAATATAATTCATTTGTTCGGTTATTTACTTGCTCATCTTGTCAGCTGTAGTATCAGTTGCACACTTCAAAGACCACTTTAAGTACTTAAAGTTCCTTGCCGTGGACTTGCCTTTACATTTTTCAAACAAATACCTTCTAAGTTTCCTTCTATTAAGAGCCAACTGCATCTCAGATGTGGTGCTCTAATACAGCCACTTTGTAAGGTAAGCACCGTTAGCATCCTCATTTTACAGAGAATCCTGATGCTCCAAGAGGTCCACTAACCAACCCAAAGCTACAGAGAACATAGCAGACCCAGGCTTGAAATTTTAGTTAATGACCTCATCATATTTCTTCAAAACCTTTGCAACAGCCTTAGGTTCTTTGCCTTTCTTCAATGTCTTTCATGCCACTTCTATAGTCAATATTCTCTTCTAGTTGAGATGTTCTAGAAATGATTAGCAGAATGCCTTCAGGGTTTCAAATTCTGAACCCCCAGAAATCTGGGAGTGGCTTACCTGAGTGGTTCTGTTACCGGCCAGGGTTCTTGGACTCCTTAATCAATAGAAATTGAAAACACACCAGACGAGAAATTCAGGCAAGGCTTTATTGGGACTCGTACTGTAGCATGACGGTGCGAAAACAAGTAACAGGTGGCCCTGCTTGCTCCCTGAGGGGAGGGCAAGCTGGTCCCTTACATGGGGCGAGGGTAGGGGCAGGTCCGGGGGTCAGGCTGCAGGGGTGGCTTGGGTGGGGTGCCCATCCTCTTGGTAGTGCTGTGTGCAAGGATCATGTGCGCTACCATGCTTTTGCTCCCGACTCCTCAGATGTGGAAGTTAGGTTTTGGGGCTTTTTGTATCTTGTTCATAATTTGCCCCAAATGCGCATGCACGCAGTTGTTTTTAGCCCTTGGAGTTTCTTTGTATTTGTTGCTTGACGAGACGTTTGTCCAGGTGCAAGCATTGCTGCAAAGGGTCCCAGGTCCCAGGTCCCAGCCTGTAACCTAGCAGGACACTACAAGGCCTTCCTGGAATAGACCCCACCCATGTCCCCTGCCTGCCTTTTGTCTGTAGAAAAACTTTAGTCAAAGAATAAATTTAATCAGAGAAGTGAGAAAATGCAGAAAGAAAGGAACACAGTCATGCAAGACAAAATAATAATACTTTGGCCATTAAACAAAGTCAAGGACATTTAGTTCTTCCCCAAGGTCTATAGATAATATTCAGAGCCTTGTCCTTTGAGCTGTTCTGCAGATACTGAAACCGCCACCAGGTGGAAGAAGTTAACCGTATGCTGCCCACAAGCACGTAGACCCCAGACCGGCTGGAACCAGAAGGTTGATGATGCTGACTCCCAATTTCCTCACCACCAACCAATCAGAAGAATGTCCACGAGCTGATCACGCCCTGCTCCCTGAACACTGTTAAAGACTCCTCACTACCCCCGTCCAGGGTGGGACATACAGTCTTAGGGGCATTAGCCTGTTGTGGTCCCCTTTGCCTGGCAAAGCAATAACGCGATTTCTTTCTACTTCACCCAAAACTCTGTCTCCCAGATTTAATTTGGCACCGGTGTACAGAGGCTAATTTCGGCAACAAGCCTGTCTCAGTTCAGGCTCTGGGTCTCTCTGATGAGGTTGCAGTCAAGGCATCGGCTAGGGCTATATCTGAAGAGTTGTTGGGACTGGAGGATCCAGCTCCAGAATGGCCTATTTCCATACCTGCCAAATTAGTGCTAGCTGTTGGCAGTTGGCCTCAGTTCCTCACCACATAGACTTCTCCAGAGGATTGCTTGAGTGTCCTCAGCTGGTTTTCCCCAGAGTGAGTGATCTAAGAGAGCAAGACAGAAATGTTATGTTCTCTTCTATCGTTCAGAGGTAAAAGCTTCATCAGGTATTACATGATGCCACTGGAAACCCTTTAGGAAATACAGATGTACAAACATGACCTGGGGCCTTCCTTTCATGAAATGCTTACAGAAAGATCCATTACCACTTGTGCACGCCTTTTAAATGGAACATTACAATGCACTGTCATTGTCACCACATTGCAGGCAGAGTATATCCTCAGATCTTCTAGTTAAAAAATCTACCAAATGAGATAAGTACTGGTTTGCACTAAACATGTGAAATTATACTAATAATATTGTCTTCCTCAATTAAATCTACCACTGTAAGCCAAGTTCACTTTAGTTCCGAAATATTCGTAGTATTTACAAAAATTATCAGGAGGTCAAAAACAATACATCAAAGAAAACAAATTAGGTCCAGCTTAGGGGAAATAAAGGACATAATCTTTAGCCAGAACTAGACCCAAGCTCCAAGTTCCTGTTACTGATCTTTATTGAAAAATAAAATAATAGAATCATTTGCAATAAAAATATTCATGTATCTTAACCCATATGCATATTTTAACCCATATGCAAAAATATATATAACGGAAAGGAACCCCTTAAGTAATAAAATCAAGGTTATACTTTCCATGTGGATTTGTGTTTCCATTTTGAATCAGTGAGGAAAACAAAAAAAGACTGTCCTTTCAATAAATGGCTTTGGGACAGTTAGATAACTATTTAGAAGAAAATTATGTTTCATCCCTGTCTCACACTTTACCTCCAAAAACAGTTCCAAATACATTAAAATTCTCACTTGATATAATTTATTAGAATACTAGAAGGAAAAGGTAAATATTTTAATATTCTTGAGGTAAAGAAACAGGTTTATGTATGAGATTTTTTTTAACTAGGAAAAATATTTGCAGCACATATGACAACAAAGAATTTTTAATTCTAAATAGTTCCTATAAATCAATAAGAAAAACACCAATACCAATAGAAAAAAATGGGGAAAGTCACAAAGGAAGAAAAATAAGTAGCTAATGAACATGTGAAAATATTTTAAATTCCTTAATAACATCAAAATGAAAATTAAAACAATACAGCACTTTTCAAACCTATCAAATAGGCAAAGATTTTTATAGGGGGAGCATCAAAGCAACTTTTCTGGTGAGTGATATGACAAGATATATCAAAACCCTAAAAAATCTTCTTTGTCCTCAATTGTTCTACTTATTGCATTGTACTCTAAGGAATTATATTTTTTTAATCCATAGAAATATGACTATAAGCATATTCATTTCACCGTTTTCATAACAAAAGACGAATTTTTATACAACCAAAAATGTTCATCATTGCATGATTGAGATAATTTGGTTATAGTATCCATATGTAGCTATTTAAAACCATGATGTAGAAGAATCTTTAATGATATAGAAGGATGGTCAAAATAAAAACAGTTGCACAAGAGCATTAGCATATGCTGGTTTCTGTCCTTATGCCCCCCAGCAGATCCACTCCCTACTTTCTCTTCTGTTGTTTTCTGTCCTAGAAAGCTGACCAGTAGGAACTGCCCCCTGGTTTCCAGTAGGGTTTGGCCAATGAGAGTCATCGGCAGATCTGAGGATGGCCAGAGAAAGAGGTCAGGGTATTTCTTCTCTGCTCCCTCCCTGCCTCAACCCAGTTCCGGCAGGTGTTGCATTCCTCTACAACACTGCTACTATGAAACAGCCTCCTCTCTGGCTCCCTTTCTCTTTTAGGTCTAGGGAGGATAATGGCTTCCCACTGTTGTAAACCCTGGCTGCCTCTTCGTACCTTATTGATTTTCCTAACACTGCCCAAGTTTCTCTTCAAAATCCCAGGTGGGTGGGTGCCTTCTGTTTGCTGCTAGAACTCTGACTGACAAAAGACACTCTAACCCAATTTTTGTAAACATTTACATACTAGTTCTGTATTGCTGCATAACAAACTACCCCAATACTTAGCAGCGTAAAACAGCAAACATGTACCATGTCAGAGTTTCCGTGGGTCTGAAATCTGGGCCTAGCTAGGCCTGGCTGGCTCATAATCTCTCATGAGACTGCAGTTATGCTGTCAGCCAGCACTACAGTCCCAACTGATGGCTCGAATGGAAATCCACTTCTAAGCTCACTCACGTGGCTGTTGGCAGGGTTCAGCTCCGCACCGGTTGTTGGAGTGAGGGGCTCAATTCCTCAATATCTGTTGACTGGAGTCCTCCCTCACTTCCTTGCCTCGAGGGCCTCTCCGTGTGGGAGTGTGCAACACAGCCCCTGGCTTCCATCAGAGCGAGAGAGCACCCAAGACAGAAGCCACAATCTTTTGTAACCTAATCACACTCAAGGGGAGCGGATTATACGAGGGCATGAATATTAGGCAGCAGCAATCAGTGGGGACAATCTTAGAGGCAATATATATAATTTACAAATGCACAGAAAAGAATCTATATGATGACGAGTTACCTTTGGGGCCATTAAAAATGATGTCTGTTTTCTTCTTGTGTTACTGGCCATTTCTAACGAATAAATAGTACTGCTGCAGCTATTACCATCAGAGATTGTTGCTGACCTACCTCCAGCTGACAGCCACTCACATGATATTGCTTAATTTCTTTGCCTTTTCCATGAGCAAGTTGATATCAACCTGCCTAGATTTTACTAAGCGTGCATCAGTTATCTCCCATAATTGGGTTTTGTTCAATATTTGACCCCAGATGAAGCTCTGGCTAGGTTTCCAAAACATATATAAAAATAATCAGGGTGAAATTTGCTCAGCTAATTTTGACATTCTCTGACAAAGATCTCCACTCT